TAAGAGCACGGCAGCATGACTGGTGTCACTCAGTAGCATGAGCCTGAGTTCAGAGGCCAGCACCACAAAACATAAGAATCTAAAGCCCACACGTACGGTATGGAAACACAAGATAATGATCAACGCAGATTACAGGACAGTAAATAACCTGTCAGGTGAAAAGTAAAAGGGCTGGGTAGGGAGAAGATTCATATACCCATGAAATACATTTGCACATACATGAATACTCACGTGTAAATAAATACAGTGGTACCTCAGTTCACGAACCTAATTCATTCTATGATTTTGGAAAGATGGCCACATGTGTGTTTGTGTGGGAAAGATGGCCACAGTCATGTTCGACACCTGATGCAGAGTTTCCAAACAAAACCAAACTTTGCCAAGTGCTTCTGCTTGGAAAACCAAATTTGTTTGCAAACAAAAGTGTGAACTGAGGTATCACTGTATACATAGACAATTTGTGGACAACATTAATGTTCCTTTTTTAAGCTAAGAAATGAGTTTCTTGATATGTGTTTATGTATATTTAATAAATATTCTCTTGCTTCTATTCAATATTTAGTAATAATAGTAAAGGATTCCAAACTATCATATTTGAAAACACTGTGGGAATAGCAGTGGGAATAATACAAATCTCTACCAATTGTTGAGGGATTACAATGTATAAATGCCTTAGATATACTAGTTAAATTCTTATAACAAGCCTTGGAGATGGATACTTTTTACTCACATTTTGCAAATGAGGAAATGAGACAGAGCGATTAGATGACTTACTCAAAAGCAGAGGATGTTCAGTCCTAACCCAGGTTTACTTAATGCTTATGCTCAAGCCCTTAACTATTGCAAGGTCCATGTTCCTCTCCTATGCAGAACTGACCCAAGAAGACCTCCCCCTACACACACTAAAAACAACAACAACAACAAAATGGTTGTATCTCCAGGGTAGTAAGCTTAGTTCTAGAGTCCTTTAAAGGATTCCTAGTTCTCATAATTCCAAGAGTTAGGAAGTTCTTCCCAAATGCTGAGTCTATTGTTTCATCTCAGTTCTGCTGGGAGTGACTGAGATGGTGCCTCTTAGTTTAGAGCTTTTTCATCCCCATTAAGCTTACTCAAAATACTTAAATACCAGTTTTTATCAGATCATGATAACGTGGTGTATTAGGCACCTTTCATAAGTGTAATGAAACAGCTGATACATTTAATTTATAAAGAAAAAAGGCTGACTCTGGCCCATGGTTCTAGAGGTTTTAGTCCAAGATCAAGTGGTCTCATTGCTTTGGGCCTCTGACAAGGGCAGCTCACCATGGTGGGAACTCTTTGGATAGAAAATTGTTCACCTCATAAGCCAGCAAGGAAAAAAAAAGGCAGGAGAACAAATTGGGATCCCAGTCTACCTTGGGAGCATGTCTCAAATGACCTGAAGACTTGCCACTAGGCCATAGCACCCCCAAACAGCACTATCTGGGAACCAGATCTTTAACACATGGGTATTTGGGTGAAACTCATCCAAACCAGAGCAGGTACTGTATGATTTGGATATGGTTTGAGTTTCCCTCCTAAACGTTCATGTGTTGGAAATGTGGTAATCCAGGTTGTGGTGTCAGGAACCTTTAAAAGTTAGAGCCTAGTGCAAGGTAACTGGGTCACCTGGACTGTTGCCCATGGAAGTAACTGGTTTGATTCTCTCAAGACCAGTAAGGCCTTGTGAGAGTGAGTTGTTATAAGGAGACAAAGCTGGCCCCTCATGGTTCCCTGGCTTCCTGTCTCACCCTGGGATCTCTCTCTCTCTCTCTCTCATGTGCTCCCACCAGGATGCCATCTGCCATGGCAAGACATAGCCAAGGGGGCCTCACCAGAGCTGAGGAGAAGCTGGTGCCCTGCTTTGAACCTCCTGATGTGAGCTATGTAAATCTCTTTTCTTTATAAATGCTGACTCAGCCTCTGATGTTTTGTTATAGCAACAGGAAACAGACGAATGGAGATGGGCAGGAATGGAAAGGTCAGCTGCTCCTGTGAAGATGGTCAGCTGTCCCATCTGGCAACTGGTCAGCAGGTGGATAGGAATGACGTAACTAGGAAGAGGTTTCCTTGCACGTAATAAGCCCTGATGAAACATCAACTGGACCCAGAGTGTGATAGGTGTGGCTGGAGAAGCACAGGGAGTCTGTAGTTCTCCTGGAGACATGCTTGTCACAAATAAACAGATAAAACTGTGTGGTGTTTGGGACAAGTGCCACTCAGTCATGTTTAGATTGCTGTTGAAATGTTTTACTCGGGTTGGGAGGAGACCAGAGGATGCATAGACTAATCTGGCCTCAACTTTTAATAAGTATTCCTGGGAAGAAGTTTCCCATCACAAAGGAAGAAATACAAATATTTCAAAAGCAAACAAGCCATCGGCTGCTCTCAGACCTGCTGCCATATGCTTTGCTTTTTCCAGCTTATGGCTTAACATTAAAATAACAGGCTCGCATTCCTCAAATATCTCCACTGCTGTTTCTTGTTTCTACTACTTGAAAAGGCTGTCAGCTGCTGTCACTTGAGGGCGTTACCATATTAGCCACCACTGTTTACTGCTTACTGGTGTGGTACGGCTGTTAGTTTTGGTACCAGTGGCCGGGGAAGCAGGAATCACATGCTGGACCTAACCTCTAGCAGACAGGGGCGTACAAGCCCATGCATCCACGCACTCGTGTGTTGGGGGTGAGAAGCAGGGCATGGTGCTCTAGAGAGACCAAGGAGACAAACTGAGTTCAGTTGTATTGGGCTGTACTGTATCAGGATGCATAAATGATCAAACCGGACAGGGCTTTAGAAATACACTAGTGTGCAAAGAGCCAGTCTGAGATGTACAAGGGGAGTAAAACCCTGCAGCCAGGCTCTCTAATTCACTCTGCATAAACAGCTGAACCAACAAAAGAAATCCGAAGTCAGAGGTTTCCTGGATTATAACAAGAATTCTCTCAGATGGGGAGACAAGAAGTGCCCTTTTCACTTGAAGACAAAGAAATGTTTTTAATGGAAATGTGGGAACCAATTTGTCAAGGATAGCTGCTGAAAGGCACTGATTAGAAGCGCAGTGGGGTGGTGAGCGGGAGGAATAAAGCTGAAGCTGACCCACTTAAAAGCCTGCCCCTGCACTTACTCCTAGAGGGAAGGGAGCCCACCAGGACCATCTTCTACCCGCCTCCCCATGGCTGGCTATGCAACCATGTAGACAAGAACCTTCCAGCCTGCAGGGGTGTTTAGTATTTCCAGCCACTGTGTACTGGTTCCTAAGCTACCACCACTGAGGATAAAATGGTAACCCAGCAGCCCAAGAGACAATGTTCTTTTTCACAAAGCCTCACCATTCAGCGGATTCCAAAGTCATGGGTTTGATAAGAAGGTGACTCAGAAGAAAGACGTGATAATTACACAATTCAAGCACATGCTAGTTTATCATGATGATTCACAGGGTATGTATAAATATTGATTAACTTACTGATGGAATTCCACTTTCTAGAGAATAAAACCAAGGCTCAAAGAGGGAAGGTAGCTTGATTAAACTTGCCTAAAATAGAATAATCAGCCAGCGCTGGTGGAAATCCTTGGTAACACAAGACAAACAAGTTATCAGGCAATGCTGCCCACTGAAATTTAACAGAAATTTTGCCATACCCGAGTTCAGGGGTACCTCAGATTTTGAACTTAATTTGTTCCACAATTTTGGAAAAGATGGCCACATTTGTGTTTGTGTGGGAAACATGGCCACGGTCTTGTTTGTCACCCAAGGCAGAGTCTGTAAATAAAAACAGAATTTTGCCAAACGCTTTTGTTGGTGAACCAAACTGTTTGGCAATAAAAGTATTCATGGACTGAGGTACCACTGTATTTTCGGTATCAATATTAGTATTTTTCTTTCAGTTGACTCGAAAGACTTAGTCTTTCCCTGAGTAGTAATTTTCTTGAACTCTCACTTTGATATATATTATGTTTTTCTAATGTACATTTAAAAATGTATAACTATTAAAATGTTCACTTATGACCCATTCAAAATCATACTGATTTTGCAGCAGTTAGGACACAAGCCAGCAGGTGACACAAGAATGGGAAACAGACAGAAGCCCGCCACTCATTAAAAGCATGATTTGAGTCTTCTGGGATGGTCAGGGTCTTAAAAGACACTTCTGTTATGAACCATGAATCAACAGATGCCCACTATGTAACCAGAAACAGAATAAAGCTTGACTTTCATTTTGAATCCCTTGTTAGTGTAAATCTCGAGTTAAATCTCCTCTCTGCTCTGCGCAGGGGTATGTTGATCATTTGGGGAGTGTCTGTGCAGGAGCTGGCTGGACAGGGTTGATTAGCCCTGAATTTACATGATCTTAGCCTCTTCAAGAGTCAAGACATTAAGATAACAGGTTTACAAGGACCCGAAGGACTCTACCTTGTAAATCTGGGATCACTTGGATTGCAGGTACGGGGGAGCCCACATGACCGAGACCACCACATACAGAGACAATCTTTTCTAGAAATGGAATAATCCTGCAGCTGTAAAGATTCCAGGGCTAGACACCAGAACTGAGATAATGATTAACTGGATCCCAGCCCAACAGCTAATCACTGAAAGCTGACCTCATGCCTTCGTAGGTGGACCCATCTGAACCCACCCCCCCCAGCTACCTAAACTGGAGTCCTTTCCTATCTTCCCATCTAAATTTCCAGTGAAGCTTTTTCCCTTGTAAATTTGCACTTTAATTTTATTTCTACTAACATAAGGACCCATACTAGGGGTGACAATCCTACATCCTTGGAGTAAACATCTGAAAGAATGGATCAAGTAGTTTATCTGAACATGGATGACCTAATATTATGTTAGGATGACATAGTGGGCTAAATCCGAGGAGAGTTCGTATTATTTACCCCCAGGATTCCATGACGGACTTGCATTGGATAAGTGGGGAGTACCTTTAGTAACTTCTGAGAAGGGAAAAACAAACCCTGGATTCACTTACATAAAGTTCTCTGGATATTCGCTCAGGGCCATGTCAATGATGTTGAGAGCATCATGGTAGTGCTTTTGTGCGGACAGCAGGAGGGCAAGGAGGTGCAGGGAGTTGGCATCATCACCTTGAAGCTGAAGAGCTTGGCGGACATAGCCTAGGGCCTCTGGAATCTGGTTTAAAATAAAACCAAAAAGAGTGTTTAAGCATGCATACACACACATGTACATGCACACGCATACACACAGAAGTCGTCATTGCAATATTTGGTTCTCTGTGATAAAGAGCTGTCTCACGCTGTGCCACATTCACATATTAAGCCAAGTGTTCATGGTTCAGGGTATTAACCACAGACACGAAAAGAGACATCCTCTTTGTATGATTGGACAGATAAAGGCACAGGAGAGGCCCTGTTCTTCCTTATAACAGCCAATATTAGATCATTTATTTCTCCTAAATGAACACTTGCTTGTTTTTTCCCACAAAACTGATTACCTTTAGATTACGCCCAAGATGATTTCACTGTAAATGGAGACATACAAATTGCCAAGGGTTTTTAGTGGAATTAAATTGCCTTAGCTGAACTGCTCTCATTTTTTAAAGTATTACTGAAATTAAAGTACTTAATAAGTCATAAACCTTTAGCAGAGCTTTCCAAATGATTAGATGCCTGGATTCCACTGGACATCAAGGAAATAGGCAAACAAACAAATAGACAAAACCCCACTCCTTTCCAAAGGGCAGCTTAAAAAAACAGGATTCAAGAAAACAAACTGCAATGCCACATACAAAGCAGATGCATCCAAATTCAAGCCGGACCGGAGGCGACCTTAACCTTTATGTGCCACAGCTGCCCAAGGTGCTCTTCAAAACAGCCCACGTACAGGGCGGGTAAAATGCACATGAGTGGGGATTTTTACACCTGAGATTCTATGCAAATCTAACAATAATGAGGGGGAGCAAGAACCTGAAGCCAGATTTCAAAACAGTAACGGACAGAAAAATTCCTATACAGCTGCCCAGGCACTGCTTTCTGTACAGCCTCCCCCTCCGGCCCCAAGAGCCATCTTCTCAGCTCATCTGCTTCTTCCTAAAACCCTTGTTGCTTTAGCCCTTAGTAGAATGCTGTTAGTTTTCCTCCTCTGAGTTTCCATTCTTCATGAATTTAGGTTACAAAAGCTGACTATGGAGGCCTTTCGCTTCGGAACCAGAGAATCAAGGCTGTCATGGTTGGACGGGAGATCAGCTGGGCCCATCCTTCATTTACAGGGAGGGAGCTGAAGGCCAGAGTGGTGAAGTGAGTGGGCAGGTCCCCTAGCTACTGGGAGACTAAGATGAGGGTGACTCTAGACCTGATTCTTCTCTGTCCTGTGCTCCCATTCAAGTGGCACTGGCTCTAAACCTAGGACAGTCACCACCTCTATCTTCCTGGTCAGCCAGGGAACAGTCAATGAGAGTGTGCTGCAAGCCTTCGGCTGCACCTCCAAGGGTCCTTCTACCGGTCTACTCCCAGGTGACAAACTACTGTGTAAATAGCATCCAACCTGGGATTATGGCGAGGGTCAAAGGGATGACTGGAACAATCAGGGACAAGCTCACACAGGTTCAAAATGATCTTCTTAGGGAGGGGCTGGTTTGAGGGGATCCAATTTTGGCTCCTCCATTCACTGAGTCTTAATGGGGCTGAAGATATGTTAGACAGTGTACCAAATACCAAGGTAAAGCGATGACGGTGATAGTTATGGCTTCCTGTCCTCCTTGAAGCTTAAATCCAGTGAGAAAGACCGATACTGAGCAAGAGGAAGAATGCAGGCTGTGGAGGAAGGAGGATCTGCAGGGGAGACTAATGAAGCTCCTGGTGAGAGCAAGACCACATGGTCGGTCCTTGGTCCACATCTGCTGCAGGAACAGCTCCTGGTTAGCCCAGCTATGAGCCATACTGTGCCAGGGGAGGGCCTGGACAGGGGCAGTATCTTGGTTTCCTCAGTCCTCAGGTTGCCCATGGGAGCGCCCAGGCACCTGGGAAGTCAGATGCGTGCCTCAGCCTGGGCCTGCCAGGGGAATGGCATGTCTGGGGAGCTGACCTTTGGTTCACCCTCCCAGTCAGCACTCAGGAATGTCCTGGGGTCACTACCAGTGTTTGGCACCTGGTGGGCAGGCAGGCGCGTGGCCGGAGTCTCTAGAACAGCTGGGAGGGGACGGAAGGGTATGAGAATGTCGGTGGCAGCTCGAGCTGCCTTTGGGAAGATGAAGGCCAGCAAAGCTTGCCCCTCTGGCAAGGAGAACAGTGAGTCTCCGACTACAAACAGCCACTGTATGTAATTGTTCCAAGCTTCCACACTTTTTAAAGGACTCAGTATCTTTTGTTCACATCTGCTGGCATCTACCTGTCAATAGTATGTGTCCTTAAGACAGTAAGGACCCAAGTAAGGACTAAATCCCCACTATGCAGCTCAACTTGGACTCTGTGTCCCTGTTTCTCTTAGAAAAGGACAAAAGCTCTTTGATGACTCCCAGGATCAGGGCATGTGCCATGTCCTACACCCCATGCTGCCCCTGACCCCAGAGCTGACCCTGTGGATTTAATCTCCAAAAGCACAGACTAGAATTCTATGTCTCCGTGGCTGATACTCAAATGGACCAAAGCCCAGGGAGGAGTTTTCTTTCCTGAAGACCAAATTCCTCTGGGAGGAGTCAGCATCCTGCATCCTCCTGGTGCCATGCCAGCCTGAGGTAAACAAAGGAAAGTCTTCTACAGCCTCAAACTGAGGAGCTGAGGGAAGTGTGTCAACACAGAACGTGCACTGAGTTCGGTGAACATTAGGGAGACTGACCTGTCTGGAGATTGCAAGCTGAAGAGCCAGGTAGAAAGCTGCTTGGTGATCTGTAGGTGACAGGCTGTGTGCCCTGAAAAAACATTCATGATCATTATAGCACATGGGAGAGGACGTGTTTACTTCCCTCATCCAACAAGTCTGCTTCATACCTATATTTTTCTGCCAAGGCCACATATTTGTTTTAAATATGCAATGATTCATTAAGCTCGTCTCACTTGTCCACTAATCAATGTGGAGCAGTTTTCTTCTGACCACTGTACCTAGGGCTCACACGGGAGCTCTGTCCACATTTAAAACAGCAGCCAACACTCCCAGCTCTTGCAGAGGCACCTGGAGGTAAAGAAGCTACAGGCTCCGAGCTCCGCGCTCCCCAGCAGATGCTTCCCTTGGCAGCCTGAGAAGCCTGCGTGCTGCAGTTTACAGTGAAGGCATGTGTGCCCTTGGCAAGGCAATGGTTGCTTTGGTTAAGTTTGGCTTGGCCTTAATGCTGCTTCATCCAAATTTCTGGATTTCAGAGAAGTCATATGAAAATCAAAGACCCAGCTTTGCTTATAAAATGAGGTTTTAGTTTTTCATGAACCCAAGGGGAAAAAAAGAGATACTTAACTCAGTCTACTAAATCCCATGCAGTTTACTAACTGTGTCCATATATATGTAATTGTGCTGGGTTCAATTGTGTGGCAGGACACTTGAGCTTGGTTTCACTAACTGCCTTTGACATGACATGTGAAGGGGATACACTGACCACCTGATAGCCACTGTGATCTTTTTCGCTTTTATGTGAAAGTCTAATGTATTTCACCAAGAGCAGCTCAGAATATGATGGTGACAGGGCATTTCACATTCTGGTGGGAAAAGAAAAACAAACTGGTACTTTCCTTAAAAGGGACTTGGAACAGACTAATTAAAAATGGTGGGCCTGGATGGTAAACAAACCGTCACACTGCTCTGTCAACATTCTGTGATTAAAGGAAGATCTTCTAGCAGCAGAAAGCAAATTCAAGAGAAAACAGAGAGCTTGATCATTATGGATTCACCCAAGGCAAACCTGCCAGGGCTGGTTTTCTATAGAAATAAGGCCTTTTAATTAACTGTATGTCTACCATAGGGAAAGGAGCAAAAAAGGCTCCTAGGTGTTAGGCTCTCTAGAAAACGTGCCAGCTCACTAATTTGGTGCACTGTTTGTGCAAATGTGATAGGTCAGAGGTCTGTCTTTTCAATATTCTTAGGAGCAAAGCAAACTCCCACTAGTAGCTCTGGCTTCAAGACACAGCCTTTGGCCATTTCTTAATTTTTTTTTTTTTTTTTTTTTTTTTTGTCTTTTTGTCTTTTTCTTTTTTACTGGTACCAGGGATTGAACTCACAACCACACACTTGCAAGACAGTACTTATGCCACTGAGCTAAATCCCCAGCCCCAACCTTTGGCCATTTCTCAGTGGAGTTTAAAGGGCAGAGGCTGACAACTTGTCTTGTTGCCCTTTACAATGTCTTACTTCTACCAGAGGCCCTTGCACAGACTCCAGCTTTTATTATTGTACCAGTGTTGGTTTTCCAAGTATTCGCACATGAAAGACTTCTCTCCCTTTGGTGTTCATCAGTAAGACTGAAATGCTGTCGTTTCTGTTTTCCCCAATTATTAAGGAAAAATGATTACAAAATCAGTTATGAAGAGATTTTGAATGATTTATTTTATCTCATCTTCTTTGCAAAAATAATAAAGCCAGGTTTCTACAGCTCTCAGAAAGAACTCAGCGCAGTTCACGTCTTTCACAAATGAAGTTAAATCGTGGTTGCCTCTATGCAAAACCACCTGAGTGAAGAGCTAATAGTAGCTTGGGGAATTCAGAGTGTGGGTAATGACAGCTCTGGCCAAAGCAACTACCCCACACTGCACCCCCATCAAACAGCCACGGCACTAACAATCCTGACATTTCTGGGGTGCAGTAAAGTAACACCTCAAGAATTCCAACTTGGCTAATAATGAAACTCCAACTGCCAAATTTCTAAACAGGTGCAATTTAATCACACATGTTTTAAATACCTTCTTTTGAAAGGTTGGCTAATGAATTAAACTGACTAGGCCAAAAAGCAATAAGGAGAATGCCAAACAAAACATGAAAAAGTACATGGTGGTGATCTCCTGTAGACTAAAGCCCTTGCTTCAGGGCTAGAACAAGTTCAGTGGCTAAGCTTCCTGGGGCAGGCCCTTTGGTGTGCTCTCTGGTAACCTGCTGGGCAGAAACAATGCCGGTGTGCAAGCCTGCTGAATCTACAGCAGCCCTGCAAATCCTATTTCCATGCAGGGAGCACCTAGCCAGGCTGCTAAGAGAAACCCAGAGACCTAAAGATGTCTCATCGGGTGTCACCACTGTCAAAGCACCTCCCTATTCATTAAATAGGTTTATCTCCCATAAGAAAGAGGCCACCCTTTTACCCACCTACCCATCTATTCATCCATCTGTTCACATTATGGAATATCTACTGCGATGCCAGGCCCTATGCTGGCCTAATAAGTGTGTCTTTCTGTGAGGAATTCTCCCACCCTACCTCACCTGAGGGGGAGACCTCAAATGATCATCATAGTAGGGATAGTGCCCAGATACAGGCATACTGGCCTGCTATTGGAGAGCTTTGGTCTCCCACGAGCCCCTATCCCTGCCATGCCTAGAGTTCTCCTAGATTTCAGCTCCAGCATCCTCTATAGCTGGACCACCAAGATAGAAAAGGCTAATCCAATTTTTTTTTTTTTTTTTTTGTACCTAGAATTGAACTCAGGACCTTGCGCTTGCCAGGGGACCAATTTGGTCGGTTTAGGACTTCCCTGGCTTTATTACCAAAAAGCTCATGTTTTGAGAAATGGTCCAGTCCTCAAAAAATCAAGATCTTTGGCCATTTTACACACAAAATATACCACATTTAAACTCAAGCTAGGAGAGAGAAAGAGAAAAAGTAAGCCCATGTGCTCTATGTCACGCAGAATGACAAACGCAAAGGACACTGCGCCTCCTCGTTCTCCAGAAGCAGCTCTGGCTTTCTGCTTTCAGGGTCAAGAAACTGAAACAAGCTCTCAACTGTCCTTGGGATTGCTTTTCTCAGTAGCACATAAAAGCCCACAGAAAGCCCCTTGTAATGCTGCAAGTGATATTAAGGTCTTCTCCTATTTTTATACAGGACAAATGAACTGGTTGAGTTGCTTGGCTTAAGCTCATGCATATACGAGAGGTGGCACTCTCAATCTCGGGGTGCAGACATACACCACTTGGGTGTCTTCAAAAATCACCTATTTGAATCCCCTAGACAGCAAGTCTTTCTGAAATTTAGTTCTAGCCATAATTAAGAGCTAATTTTCACATGTGATATATGTAACCTCATATCTTTTTGAATGGTACTTTCTTTTTAAAGAAAAAAAATGCAAAAAAAAAATAATAGAAACAGAACTGTAAGAGAGAATATATAAAAGACTAGAAAAAGTACCTGTCATCTAAGTGGTTTTAAATTAATTTTAAAAGTAATACACATCATTCTTGTTTACTTACAGTCTCCCCCTCAAAGATTTTTGTTAGGCTTATATTCACTAAAATAGTCAAATATGTATTTGAATCAAAATAATTTCATTTTTTTGAAAAACATTCTATGTTTCACACAAATAATTGAGGTTAGATTTCTGCAATACAGTCAGGTGAGTGGGTTTTTATTACTCTTTATTCCCATAGAAAGTAATATTTAAAAATCTTTTTGAATTAAAACCTAAGCAGGAAAGGAACAAAAAAGAATTTGGGCCAACAGAACAACCGTTACGTAACGCAGAGTTACACCGGCAGCTCCAGGCAGACCACCACTGTGGCTGTTTTTAGAGAGCCAGTGAGAGGTGCTGGTTTAAGAAAAGTGAAACAGATGTAGTGGCCACTTTCTTAGGCATCCATGTGTGGGTTTCACAAAGTAGGACTGGGGAATTTAAAACTCAGAATCATTTGAAATGGAAATGCTTTCCACACTCCGTGCTGAAGAACACCAACAAAAGCTTAGTACGGAGACAGGAGAGCTGTTTGCAGATGTCAACGGGTACTTTTTGTCATTAAGCAGACTGGGACTGCAAAGTGAAGGAGCTATTGACAAGCTGCGAGGAGACAGAAAGAAATAAGATGGAAGTGTTTCAGGCGAGCTGAAACCAAACGGTAAAATGCACATGATGAAAAACGCCATGACAGATCTGCAGGCAACCCTGGCTCTGAGGAAGGATCTAGATCAAAAGGCAAGGGGTCGAGTGTAGAAGGCCTCATGAAACTGTCACATAAGTTCCTGGTTTTGAATACAATCCCATGAAGTCAATGGCATTCATGTATTTAAGGTGACAGGATCAATTCTACGTGTAGCTTCACATCACGGGCTCTATGTTCGGGCAGTAATTTCATTTTAGTGATTTATTATAGCTGCAGTAAGTGTAAAATTAGGACAGCATAGTACAGCAGGTGTAAGAAAAATGGGGTTAGAGTCGGGAGACCCTGCTTCTACGCTGCCTTCACTCCACTGGACGGGGGCTCCTTTGACTCCTGTACCTCAGTCCTTATTACAGTGCCATCACCACTTGTCCCAGCTACTTGTTGGTGTCTAAGAGGTGTGCAAGAGCACTGGGATATATGAGCGATTAGTAACTATAAGGCACTGTCCTGAGTTCATAAAAGGTACAGCGAGGAGCACAAAGTGTCACACAGCAACGTAGGGTGAGGAGGTCTGGTGCTCTCTGGGATGTCGGCTTTAACACGGTATTTAAGAAACTCACAAATCTAGTTTGTTTTTTTCATTTCTTAAGATAGAAACTCATGGCTTGACATCTATTTTTTTTTAAAGCCAGAAAAGAATGATCCCTTTTCTAGATGATGACAAACGTTTTTAATAAAGAAACCATCTCTCTAGGCATAGAAAATGCCTCTCTGTTGAGCCGAAGTCACTTCATGGGAATGAATAAAATGAATAAATAGATTAAGATTGCAGGTTTGCTTGGCGACAAGTGATGTGGCACATTTCAATGCTTAACGCTCACTGCTCAGGATGAGAGGCTCCCAGGGGTAAAACGCTGTTTACATAATCTTTAGAAACACTCCTTCTTTTCACATTTATCATTCTTTGGTGTCATTACACACAGCCGAGTGAAAAGATGAACTCCCACTCACCTCTGAAATGCAAGAAGAGCCTTCCTCTGCAGGACCTCCTGCATCCCTCGCAAAGAAGCTAAGGAAAGGGTTCAGTTAGTGAGTGGCACGGGAGACTGGAGAGCTTTGACAATACGAAATGTATCACAAGGATCACACATTCAGTTGGCTCAGAAGCAACAGTCCCTGGGTTCCTGTTGCATCGGGCACCCAGAGGGCATGAAGCCAGTCCCACCCTGAAGGTACATGGATATGGGACAGTGCGGGACAGGAGCCCTTACACTGCCCCACAGTGTGGGACAGGGTGATGATGTCAGCTGCACGGTCACTCTTGGTAGCCCCATGGAGACTATTTCCAAAGAGCAGAAGGAGCACATCGGTCCTCCCAAGCGTAGGCCTGGAACTACTGACTGGCCGCTCTGGGATGGCGTAGACAGGGTTCAAGCACCAGCAGTGTCGGCTCAGTCTGCCCTCACAAGTCCTTCTGGCCTCGAGAAGCTATGATCTGAGACCACAGGTGCTAGCTCGGTGCTATGAAGAGTGGGTTAAGTCACACCAGAAAATGGCCAGTATCTCAAACACTGTGATGTGAATACAGCGGGTTGGAGCACCACACCCAACACTGACAACAGGCAGATGGAGTCCAAAGTGTGAGCCACCTGATGTGAATGAACACTTTTCTGTGTAGATCACAGAAGAAATGGCTCTCTTTAGGCCTATGAACAACAACAACAATAATAACAAAAATGTCCTTTTCACGGTGACCTAAATACAAGTTCTGGAGGAGGGGTTTATGGTGAGAACTGTGGGAGCCCTTACACTGCCCCACAGGTGGCAGGGCTGGAGGGCTGCATGTGGCTGTGACCCAGGGCTGCCTTAGAGCAGCCACTGAGCTAGAGAGAAGCCCAGGGAGACACAACTAACCTGACTGCAACAGGAGGCCCAACAGGATCCAGGGGCTCCCAGAGTTACAGGGCTGGCTGGCGTGGAGTCTGAACTAAAGATTTACATGGATAAGTCTATGCACTACAGCTACTCTTCCCTGAAAGTCTACTATATTTGGCCCAAAGTGCTGAGTGTGGCCAACATGCCATAAATATACATAGCAAATTAGTCAAATGTCCATTACTGAAAGCAACTGATATGCAAACTCCCACAGGGCTGTTGATATTTTAGGGCAGAGAAAACGAGAATCTGGGGTACCTGGGAAGTGAATACTTACAGTCAGAATACTATTTCTTCTTAATAGAGTGGGGGTTGTAATGGGTGGGGGCATGTGGAGGGCTCCACAGGTGGCCAACAAGGTTCAACCTCCTGAGCAGGGTGGTGGCTACAAGGGTATTTTGCCTTAGGCTAATTCACTAAGTTATGTATTTATTTTTGACAGGCTTCTCTTTTTTTGCATTTGTTATATTTAACCAAATGTTAAAAGAGTAATATCAGAAAAGCAACTTATCAATTTACATTCTCTGCAAACATATCATTGAAAAGCTCATTAAGTAGATAAACCATAATTAAGGTATTTTTAAAGCCAGAAACCCATCCACCAAAACTGTAAATGTATCTAAATATATATAAATCACTGTCTCTGAGAGTCATGGATGCTTGGTGAGCCACTGCTCTGCATGTGTATGTATCTGTGAATTAAAATGTGTGAATGGAAAAAGGGCCAGGTTCTGGGAGTGTGTGGTCCTGAACTCTGCCACGATCCCATACCTAAGTTAGAGCTTTTCCTCAGTTCTGGCTTAGACTCAAGCCTGGGGCCAGAGCAGGTGCAAGGCCGGGTTGGGCAAATCACCTCAAGGCCCTGCTCATCTTGCTACCCTTCCAGCAGATGCCCTGCACCTGCACCCAGGAATCCCCAAGCACCAACAGCCCTTGTGCCTGTGAACAAGGCCTTCCTCCCTCCCTTCCAAGTCCAAGCAAAGGGGACAGCAGCACTGGGGCCCCACAGGACTGCATGCCTGCCACCTCCTAAGATGGAAAGGAGCTGTGGGTTCCTGCAGTGTGGACTTAGGCTCTGTAGGAAGGGATTTCTCTCACCGTCAGTGGCCTGCAGACTGTACGTGAGCCCGAGAGCTAAGTAGCCTTTGGCCTTGAACTCTGATGTTTTTTCTCCCACATCAACAACAGTTTTGGCAAACTTCTCAGCCTCTTCCAACTGAAAAAGGAGACAAGTTAAAAACAACAACAACCTGCAGAATTTTGGACATGAGCTCTCAAAAGCATCTGCTACTAAGAATGGATTTCTGATGAGTCATTTTGAAAATAACTCCCAAACCTTCCAGTCCCACTCTGGTGATTCTGTCTTCTGTCTTTATTGAGCTGCTCTAAGGACTCCTGCCTTGCTTTTTCTTTAACATTTCCCTATTTGCCTTCTTCTCCACAGTCACTTTCAGACTCATAGGATTCTATCTTTGTCATCTTTATTTTTTATGATTTTTTCTGTAATGAGATTGTGCTAGGTATTCAGAAGTTGAATTAAATACATTGGTAAATAATAAAGTGCTTGGAATGTTTTATGTTTGGGTTTTTCCTTTTTTTCATGACAAAGAATCCATTTAGGCTTGGATTCTCTTCACCACAAGCTATTAAAAATTTCTGAACTCCCATCTATTTTATAGTACACAATACATGGATATCATATCAGTAGATTCCAGTGAGAAAATGTGCACCTGTAAACTGTGCCCACAAAGAGACCTCTGGTACAATTCATTAGAGGTCAAAATAATAAGATCTGTTCCTTCAAAAGCATGATGAAGCTGGGATAGTAGATGGAGTTTGTTACCCTCTTGACTCTTGTGGTATTTGAAGATTTTAGTGATACCAATGTAAGACAAATACATAGAACAGATTTTTACAACCATCTCACAGGAGGTTTACCTCAGTTGTTTAGAGATGCCTATGCTACAATAACGAACAGAGCAAGAGGACAGCAGTGGTCACTGCTAGAAACTGGCACACGCCAGCCTGACCTGGTCCACTGCAGCCATGCTCAGGCCTGCCTGCGTGGCCCCTCCATCTGCAGTCTCAAGTTGGCAAACCCTATACAACTACAGCACAGCTGTGTATTACAAGTAAGAGCCTGCTCTCTTTTCTTTTCTATGGGTTTTCAAGCAAAATTGCCTAAGAGTGGATTGCTTTCCTCATAAGCCTTTCTTTTCTTCTCTTCTGTTGGGTAAGAACACATGGAAGAAAACCATGCAGCAAGAATCACAAAGGCAGAAAATCTCAGTGAGCAGGAGCCTGGGCCTTCAGAGCAAACTTTTATCACTAATTTTTACATGAACTTCTTTTTGGTGGCAGGGGGGTGGGGGGGATAATGGAATTGAACTCAGGACCTCATGCTTGCCAGGCAGGTGCCATGTTGCTGAGCTATGTCCCTGGCCCTTTATATGAACTTTTAAAAAAATGAAATTAAAACTTCATCGTCTGTGGCAATTATCTATATTACCATCTCAGCAATTAGTGTGTTTTCTTTCTTTTTCCCATGTCTGCAGTACCTAGTGATTACACTCACTGAGGGAATTGGTACAGGCCACTAACACATCCTCAATTCTGAGTTTTTTATTTTCTACTCTAATGATACATTTTTGAGGTAGCAAAATTGCTGCAAATCAAGCTGTCTCCAAATCAAATTTGAACAAGAATCAAATTTGAAGAACAGGGTATCTGTGAAGATGGAGGAAAAGAGAAAGTTGGAGTTATGACATGAGCTGAGGTAGTGGGTGACTCTACAGGAAACCCCGAGGCTGGGCCAAGAATGAGCGATCCCCCAGCTGTACCTTCTTGGTCCTGCACGACTTTACAGCAAGATGTACCCGAGCACAGATCCCAATTTATCTTATCACTGCTACTTTTGAAGCCTAATCCAGTGAAAAGGAACCCCAGAGTACCCCGAGAGCGTAAATCACCCTTGACCTGAGCGTGAGTGGGGGAGGACGGAGGGGCCCAGGGGCCCAGCGGCCCAGGCTGAGGCTGGGGCTCTAAGCGGCCTCATCTCTGTGTAGCTGACATGGAAGGGGCCCATCCCGAGACACAGGGGCCACAGCCCCTACTCACCCAGTGCAGGGAGCCCATACACAGCTTGGCGGCGAGGAGCGGGATGGTTGCGTCGTCGGGCTTCAGCCGGATGCACTCTTTCAGCACCTTCACAGCTCGAGCAGACTTGGTAAAAGACAGTATTCCTGTGAAACTCAAAATTCTGCACAGAACCAAATCCTGCAGCCTTCTCGGACGGGTTTTGGTTGGGCCACCTCAAAAAGGACTTTTCTAACCAAGCAGGGCCTGGGAACTGTGATAACCAGAGCCTGGGATTCTGAGTAACAGCAGAGTAAACACAGTGGTTAAAAACAAGTGGAAATGCTCCCCTGGTGTCACCCTATTTAGGTCCCTACTTATAGCCATTGTAAAATAAGAAAAAAATAGACTATGGAAGCTTATGCTACTACAAAAATTCAAAACCCAATCTGCAGCATAGAAGACTAAATTTCTGAGTCTGCTTAGCCTGTAAGCTTATATCCCAGACTTAACAACTCACTAACTGGTCCAAATTAACAAGGACTCCAATGGCTACATCTCTAGTGAGTGCATACACAGCTTGGGCTGCTTGCCTAAGCACTTCGTGCTTTTTAGCTCATTCTGTGAAGCAGGGACTGCTACAGCTCTGCTTTACTAAAGGGGAAACTGAGGCACTAAGTGACTTTCCCTGGTCACTCAGCTGTGAGTGAAGTCCAGCATCCACACATCACCTGTTCTCTAGAGTCCAGGGATCACCCACAACACTGCATCAACCAGAGGGCCAAAGACCAAAAGACCTCTCCCTCCAGGAATATATTTATGCCTGCAAACGAGGGTCAGGTTTAGAGCTAGCTTTAGTTTATGCCATGTCCATTTCACATAAGTGAGTGACAGAGGCTAGAAAAAGCAAATTTTTCAGAGTTTTTCTTTTCAGCGTTATGCCCATCTTGGCCCCTGAATTATTACATTTAATTGTCCACGATGAAAGGGCCACAGCTCAGTTTGAAATAATAGCTCAGATTTCTATGAGATCGTCCTGTGACATTTGGTGACATAACCATGGACACGCAGAACTGTATGTTTTGAAGGGTGACTCACTTTTCCAGCAGCCATCAGTGAGAGAGCGAACTGGTACCACAGGTGGAACTCCTCAAAGGCGAACTTCATGGCTCTTTCTAAGCACTGGTTTGGAAAGATGAACAAATGCAGACGACTGAGAATTGTCACACCTGGACCCCAATTGAGTCTGTGTTTTTGTATACTAAGATAAGATCTCCAAACTTGGCTTCCCTGAATGCTTAGAACACAAGCCTCCCCCAGAGGAGTCCCTGCATGGTGGTGGAGCTGGGTGCCAATGGCCAGGACAAGCTACAATCAACCAAGACACAATCCATGATCTCCAGTAGCTCTGACTGAACAGGGAAAGAGGTGGGTGCACACACAACTCTGACTCCAAGGAAAGGGCGGAAACAGCAGCTTGTAGGAAAGTGTTCCCAAGCATCAGAAAGCAGGTTACGGAGCCACGCCATGCCAACGAGAAGGGAAACAATACAGCTTGGGGGTGACAGAAAGAAGAGAGGAGAGCATGCCTAGGCTTGGCCATGGCAAGTGCAGCAGAACCCAGCCCAGGCACACCGAGGGAGTGGGGATCAGGCTAGGAGCAGGCACGGGCTGAGCCACATCACTGAGTCCAAGATGGCAGCTCCTTTCAAAGCTATTACCTCCCCCTCTTGCACCCCAGCTGTGTTCTCCTTCCTCTGTGTGCTTAAACTTTTTGTCATCACAACTGCATATTAGTGTGACTGCCTTCCCTCTCCTGCCCCAGCCCAGTGCCCCTGGGTGAAATGATCAAGGCAGAAAGCATGGCTTAGCTCCCCGGTGCTGGCCCAGTGCCACCCATGGTGTGTAATCTACAAGTGGGCTTCCCTTTCGGGCAGCAAGGAACCTCCACTCCCCACAGAGACAGACAGACAGACAGACAGACAGACAGACAGACAGACACATACACACACACACACACACACACACACACACACATACAGAGACAGAGACAGAGAGAGATACGATCACATCGGGCTATAGGAATATCATGGGGTGCTGAATGAGTTGTAAGACCACAATGGAGGTAGGCCAGGAGTAAGGTCCAAAAGCTTCAGAACCAAGAAGTGTGTCTGAAATAGAATCAGCAAGGACAGAGCACCACGGGGAGTTGGAAAACATCTCTCCCAAAAGGGAAGGAGAGGGAAGGTGGTGGTGGGGGAAGGTGGCCTAACACAGGAAGGGGAATGAGAGTGTCAGACCGACAGAAACCAAGCAGCTGAGATCTAGCAGAGGTGGCCGAGCTCCGAGTTCCTGAACTCCCGTGGGCGGCTATTGTGAAGTTGTTGAAGACTCAGGTCGTGGGGCCAGAGGAACAGAGAAGAGAGGCAGAGGAGGTGGGGATGGGGAAAGGCTGTTTATCTATGTCTTTATCTCTTCCTGGAGGGCATGTGAGCAAATCTCTAACATTAAGGAAGAAGGAGGCAGAAAAAAAGACACTGGAGGGGTAAATGAGGCCCCAGAAGACAAGACAATAGCAGGTCCCTGGGACAAATGGGCTCATGGGAAGCGGGTGCCCTAACAGAAAGGGAGACCACAGTGCTGGCCCACTCAGCCACTGTTTTCTCTGTTACTGTGGAATGAAGAGCTGAGAGGGAAAGAAAACAAGGCTGTGAGCTAGAAACAAAGCATAGGAAAAGGTTTGAACAAGGGAAAGTGGACGCTGTTGACCTCAGTCGCCTCAGAGGCGATGGTGTGGATGTGCCGTGGGACCCCCAGCACCCTGCTGCCGTGCTCTGAAGCCGCCAGGGAGGAGAGAAAAACAAACGAATTCTCAGGATTAATAGATGGAGGAAGGGACAGAGAACCAGGGCTGAGAGATGAGGAGCTACAGAGGATCGTAATAATGACACAGTGAGTAGGTAGTAGGAGAGGAAAGAATTCCAGAATTCTTTGCAGAGATGGTCACAGTCAATATTAGGATACTTGATTTACTATGAAAACGTGCCCTAGTATAAATCTATCAAAAAGCAAAGACATAAGCAGCTAGGAAGCACCAAGCACATGCTGAGTGATGGTATGGAATGGGTGTCTGAAGATCCTCAAGACAGGAACCCTGCAATGTGCCTGGTTAACACCTCAGGTGGCCCTGTGACTCCAATCCAGACCCTGCAAGGATGGCTGGGAGCGCCCTTTGAGAGGAGAGCACCTTAGCCCTCTATCTTGCCCCTCTCCTGCTCTGCTCCTTCAGAGAAGGAGGTAGGGGCAGCAGGAGGTGACAAAGCTACCTAGTGGGATGGGCGGGAGCAGAAAGAATCTGTCCCCTAAGGGAAGAGAAGCTGTGTCTCACCATGGTACTTGTGGCAGGGGACAAAATACTTCCTCTCTGGCTAAGCCAAGGTATACTGGCTTAGCTAATTATTATTATTATTATTTTTTTTTTTGTCTTTTTCTCTTTTATCGGTACTGGGGATCGAACTCAGGACTGCCTGCTTGCAAGGCAGGCGCTTATGCCGCTGAGCTAAACCCTCAGCCCCCAGCTTAGCTAGTTATATCAAGACACACCCACCATGGTACAGATACCAAGGGCAGTCAGGCATCTGAATGTTTCCTCTTCTAACAGCCCTGCTCTTCAAAAAATGACCTGCAGCTGAACAGTACAGAGGGTGGGAGACCAAAGCAGCCTGCAGAGAGAGCAAGTGGGCAAGAGGGGTACAGAGAGACCTGATCCATGCCTGATGTGGGCTGGAAAAGGAGCATGGATGCCATGGGGGAGTGCAAGTGATAAAAGCAATGGTTCTTAGAAACTGACTCCGGTGATGGGAGATGAGGGCCGATGGAGGGGAAACAGGAGTGATAACTGTCACGGCTGAATTAGACAGGCAGAGAAGAAAGTAGATAACGATATAAAATGAGGTTTGTTCAACAACCCTACTCAACGAGCTCACTGCAGTTCACCCAATAAGCATCTTAATGGAGCCACAGAAACATTCAAACGTTGAAATGCTTTTTCTTCCTCCTTGTGCTAGGAGGGATGACAAATATCAACTGTTTTCCTGATAAACAAAAGGAGCTCAGCTGCTGAAACAGACTGTTCCAAATGAAAAAGCTCAATGCTATAAATAAGTGTGCATCCTTATTTGCTTGCATGCCAAAGGCTAACATGCTCATCACACTGCCACGAACACTTGCTGGAAGTCTAATTGGTGTCACGCTCCTTTCCTGGTGTGGTCAGAAAATACCAGAGGAAGACAGTACTGGCCTTCAAACTCATGGAGTTAGGGGTTCCAAGGCTAGGGGTTCTTGTGGGGAGCATCCAGGTGGAGCCCCTAAGCAGAAGGCATTCATCATTTAACTATTACTTCAAAGGTTCTGACTTGGAGGTGAGGAGAGCAGCAATCCAGAGAGAAGGGGTGCAGGTTACATGACCCAGGCACAGCCAATCAGTGGCACTGACATTGTGGGTGGTGGGGGTGGGGTGAGATAAGATTCCCAGGCTCTTAATGTCTGCTCTAGTCTGTTCTTCAGTCTCCTGCGGATTCTCCATAAATGCTTTTTCTGCTTAAGGTAACAACCAGGTTCTGTCATCTATGACCAAGGCAGAAGGTATGCCCAAGCAAATGCCTCAAGCGCCTCTTGCAACAACCCGACCTGCCAGCCCCAATAAATAGTTGTATGGATTCTGTCTGAGGAACCCTTGGAACAGCAGAGAGTTCACCTGAACTGAACTTTAGCTGGAGAGAAAAGATCTGGGCTGGCCATAAGCAACGGTGTACACTTAGAATTGCTGCTATTCAGGAGGCTAAGGAGGAGGACTGCAGTGTGAGGCCTGCCTGGGCAACTTAATGAGACCTTGTCTGAGAACACAATAAAAAGGGCTGGCTGGGAATGCAGCTCAGTGGGAGAATACTTGCCTACTATGCTTGAGGCCTTGGGTTCAACCCCCAGTATCACCAAAACAAACAACAAACAACCCAAACCAAAGAACCTATTCACCACCACAGAAGGTACATGTATTTGGGCAAGTCACAGAAAACTGGAAGCTACAGTCATCAATATAGAGAGTTATGGGGGAGATTAAGTTAGTTAATACTTAAAGAAACATAAGCAACTACCCCCGTTATAAGATAGAAAGTTCTAAATAAAGGTTAGCTATTACCACTTTCAATTCTTTTAACATTTTTATATAAGAAAGGGCAATTAATCCCATAATACCAATCACTGCACCCTGATTCAACATATGAATACTTGTATTTGCAATGACTATTCACTTTCCTCATGGTAGAAAAGGGTTCAGTGTGAGGCCTTGAAAAAAGGTGTTACATTGCGAACTGACTTGGATGGATTGTTTATCTCTTCGGCAAGTTTCTTGGTAGCACTTGCTGTGCAGCCTGGCAGGATGCTAACCGCCTGGAAAGTGCAGCCTTAGGTGGTCGTGGAGAAACCTACTGGGTGCAGGCAGGTTTGATCCAGGACCCAGAAGCACAGGCATATCAGGGACACACTGGTTTTGGTGAGCTACTGTTAGATATGTGAATCAAGCAGCCTGGTTCCAGGGTCAAGGCAGAATTCATGACTCCCCACTGCTTCTGGGGCTTCAATGACAGACATACTGTTCAGCAGGCCTGCTCATGTTGCATAAGGCAAAGTATAAGTGAATACAAGACTCCTGGAAAGCCCACGTGTTCCCAGAATGATTTCAGGGTCCAGCAGTACTTTTTCTGTTAACAGGAGGGCCCCATTCCTGTGACCTCTTTGGGATTCTACAGTCAACCAACAACTGAGACCTTCCTAGCTTGCAGACTTTCAAGAAACTTCACTGATTACATAACACCCAGCAGCACCATAGCAGCCAGCAATGTGTTCTCAACCCATCTCGGCGAATCTCAGTTTGACAAAGATTCAGACAGGTCACACAGCTCCTCTACGCTGCCACTTCTTTCACGGTCCCCTCCCAGTCCGGTCCTCTTTCTCATGACTTTAACAACCCATGTCCTGAAGCAGTCATAATAGAAAATGCCAGTCAACAGTCACAAACTGGCCTCCAGCCCACTACAGAGGTGTGCGAGCTCCAGCATTCACAGCTGATGGTTCTGCCCTCCTGTGGGCTCCCGGCCAAGGCACACTGCTCTTACTGTCCACAA